GCCTCCTTTATCAGACCTTTTCTTCCTTTGCCACGACCAGTCAAATGTTAGGTGTGAAGGAGTGGACTAGCCACCAGCTTCCTACTGCTGCTATTGCTGTTCACCACGCCGTCCGAAGCGGAAATGAGCTAATGCCATACAGCAGCGCTATTTTATATCTTTTCAGGTTAAAGTAGAATGATGTGCAACCAAGTGGTATAAAAGCTACAAAGACTCCTCCCATTATGAGTAGTTTGCTATCAAGTAGCGACACTGGCTCTTTTCCTTTTGCGTACACGGCGAATGAGAACGACCCAAATTTGAGTTTAGTTCACTCATAATTGCCAAAAGTGCAGGAACTCAGTGATGAGTAAATTTGTCTCATGGTTTCCTGTGGAAAATCTAAAAAATCTGCCAGAAAATGAGGAAATTGACAAAAAAATTATTCAGTCTCAGAGTAGTACCAATAGACTGAGTGAATCAAATCTTTACTTTTCTCAAATTCGGAAATTTTTCCCTGGAAAATCCTGGGAAAACATGAGGCAAATTTACTCATCGCTGAGTTCCTGCACTTTATTTCTTATTTCTGAGATAACTAAACTCAAATTTGGGTCGTTCTCATTCGCCGTGATATCACCTTGAAAGATATCGGCGCCGGTGGTTAGCGTGATTACCTCTCACCCCTGCAGGCCTGGGTCCAATCTCAGTCGGCGCCACCGGCATGTTCTAAGGCATAACATCTCTGATCACGCCTTCCTTCGGGAAGTAAAGCCGTTGGTCCCCGGTTGAGTTGATGGGTCGATTGGTAGGGTCCAGGTGTGGCGTCGGTAGCATTGGAACTCAGTACGGAAAACAAATCTCGCGTCACTTTTCAATAGGTCCTATCTACATTGATCGATTCTCTTCATCGACACTCTCTTTCGTAAAAAAACTCGGCTTCACAAATGTTTCCTGCCATCTTCGTCGAATCGGATGCTAGATTGTTGCTTCTTCCATCGAAAATATCCGGCCGTGGCGATTCAAAGTTGATCAAGGTTGATCAAAATAATTTGTATCCCTGCTTCCAGTTTGATTACATGAGCATTTTGTATGGTCGTTGGTTCTGAATATGGACAAACAGGCAGATGAATTCTATTCCTACTCTTTACTGTAATAAGCTTGGTGGCCCTGAAAAGAGCCGTTTTGTTGCCAAAGTTGGTGATGATTTAACCTCTGAAACCAAACAGAGTGCGTCTCTGTCACTTCAAAACGTAGATGACATCCATGGCCGCTTAAGCTTGCCGTGTTTAGTGTAGGTAACAGCATCACGGATCTCATTTTTCAGGAACACCTTCAGCAAACCTCGTAAATCAGACCGGAAATACGTCAGACACCGCCACGGCGAGCCAGACGACGGTCGTTATCTCGAAGAATTTGCGTTTGGTTCTGAATATGGCGATGAGTGTGCAAAATATTACGCAATTCCATCCTCCCTATTCGCACGCGCCCGAGGATCGGAGGCGAATGCCACTTCGACTTGTTTCGTCTACTTACTACTCTCTGACGACTGTGCTGGGGAAGCAGCATATACATGTAGGTAATTGGTGGATTTGTTAGTTAATTCGACGCTTTTGGACCATGCTGGACATTAACCAGTTTTTCAATAGTTTCTTGTTGAAAATCAACATTCGGAAGCATTGTTATCGATGCGTAGCCATATTTCTCATCGATTGGTGATAAAATTATTGAAATTGGACCAGGGGCAGCTGAGTTATTAACGTTCAAAATCTTTTTTAATGTGTTACATGTTCTATGTTCGGTTTTCACACAGAAATCAAAGACGTAGTCCTACGTCAAAATTAGTTAGAAAATTTTTAAATTCCAGATTTTTCCAGGAAAAAAGTCGCTAATGATTCCCGGTTTTACAGGTTTTTTTTTTACGGTAGTAAACACCTTGAATTGCTATAGCTGTTTCTTCTGCTTCCTGATATGAAACGGAATAATTGTCCTATATGGAATAGTCTTATATATGGAATAGTCTTATTTATCCTTCTATTCTGGTTATTTTCTTTTTCAAATTTTCTTCGCAAGTGTTTAGTACTAATTTTCTGGAATTCGTTCTAATAACCGTTTGTCCTACTTACATTCAGTATAATAACCCAGCATTCAATACAACCTGTTTGATATATCTCATGGTTCTGGGTACTGAATATGGTCTCCGAAGTTCTACCTTTGATATATCGAGTTATGCTATCAAAATAACACTACATGGAACTTCGATCAAAAGATGCATCGACTTATGAAGAGTAGTACGATAAATATGAATATGAAGGGACTGCAGAATCCATCTAGTTTTAGAAAATATCGGGTTATAGAATGTAGAATTGTGGAGAGTTGACTGTATTTAATGAATACACATATACCCTATTCCTCGCTCTCGCTATCTGCCGATTTTACTCGCTCGAAATGGTTAAGTAGGGTACAGGAATGAAAATGTTCTTGGTGAGCAACTTCCAAAATGTAGCTGTTTCAGGATGTTTTGAAAATAATTTCGACAAAATGTGTTTTTTTTTGTGCATGGAAATACCCCTTTTCATAGATTGGTATTTTAATTTTAAGGTAATTTGGTCTTCTGTAGACAAGAGTAAAGGGCTACATTTGATTTTTTTTCGTTCTGACAGATGCCTTCATCCTGAATACAGATGCTCATAAATGTTCATCTCCTCCACGATTATACTAGCATCATAGCCCTCCAAGCTAGACAATACTAGATCAATGATAGTGCTGCTACTATGCCCAACACGTGTTGGTTCAAAAACATGTTATTTCATTCCTAGCGCCTCCACCACGTTTTTGAGCTCACGTGCATACCCAAGCTCGTTCCATCTCATGTTGGAATTGCCAACAATAACATTCGTTCATCCATAAACATATGTACATGTCATCGAAACTTTCGTTAAAACCTACCTATATGGCTGCAAGTAGGTCAATGATAAACATCTTCATAAATTCCTTTCAAAAAACGAACTTTTCCCCTCAACTGCCAGGAGGCAGTTATCGCCAACTGTAGTGTTGTTACCCATTAGGCTTTATCCCTGTAATGAGCCAATTTTGACAAAAAATGCTGAGTATTTGTGATTCGGATTCTCAATTTGATCAAGGTTGCAATCTGGTGTCAGATGCGTTTCAGTCAAAATGACACTATCGGATCCGTTTGTTTTTGGCTCATCGAAGTAACATCGCAATCCTACAATGTTCAAGTACGTTGTAAACTGCATGAAACAACAACATTTTACTAATTCAAAATTATATTACTCACTTACATAAGCATTTATTCTCTCTTTGATTTTTCAATAAGTTTACATAACCCAAATTCCATACTTTGGTGCAACAAGACCACTGAAAATGTTCATGCGTTTCGTAAAATTGTTTTAATATTGAACAGAATAATATTGTTATTGTTGTTAAGTTATTATAATATTGTTGAGAACAGAAGTTGTTACATTGTCAAAAGTTTGACTCGTGTTCATGCAAACATTTAAACTGAACCACATCACTAACTTTATAGAAGATTCTCCTCATGCTTTGTTCATTTTCGAAGTAGCATCATTTAAAGCACCATTGTGAGTCTCCTGGGACCAACTAGCTTCCACCGTAGCCCATTTAGCCCTCAGTTCCAGAAATCTTTCCCTTATCGCACCATCAACTTTGTGCGTTATGCTGTTCCCTTCCCCACGGTGCTAGGCCAAGCAACCCCCCTCCTTGGTCTCATCCTTGCTCCATCATCATTGTTGTCCGTTGTTATCGCTTTCCAGACTTGCAAAATTACTCAAGAAACTGGAAGCCTAATTGATTAGATAAATGGATATGTGTTTGTGGCTCTGTGAGCACTCCCGGTTTGTCCCTATGCAAACACATCACCCGTTCTGGACAGACGAACTACGTACCAATACACACAGACTGAGACTGATAAATAATAGATCAGGGCAAATTAATAAGCACTCAAGTCGAAGCTCCCTCAAGACGAAGCCGACCGAAACCGAATTGGACTTCTGGATTTGCTAACAAACAGATCACCACCCTCCCCTATTGGATGATGTCTTGGTTATGGGCTCTTGAACCTACTGGCTGTGGTATGTGGATCGAGTCATTTTTCCTGTCAATTTCACACGAATGAATAAATTAGAGCGTTGTCCACAACCGGTTCTTGTATAGTTTCTGATTGTGTGTTCTCATGGTGGCATAGACGTTGCCAGTAAAGCTGATTTGAACTGGCTAATAAATGAAGCTTCTTACTACGCCCACCGACAGGTCCGTTTCTACCCAGTCAACAGCCCAGAAGGACGCAGCCCTTTGGTTGTTGCACATTGTGGAACAAATGGAGTGTTTATTGAGTGGTATGCCTGGCTTTTCTAACGAATCAATTAGAATAAAGGAAAGACTGAGGCTCGTCAATTTACCACTAAGCTTGGGGATGGCTACTTTCCCTGGTTGGCGAACAATAAATTATTCAAAAGATATGTAGAACGTTTCACTAGTTTTGTCAAGTGAAGCTTTCTTGAAAGAAATACGGCTGTATGTGCTGCAGCGAACGGAAGCTGCCATCAACCGGTAGTGGCGGGTGCCCAAAAGAGCCAAGAGCAAGTTTCGCAATAAAACTGAATAATGATCTGCCGCTTTTTTTTTTACGGCGTCGAATTAAATTTCCTTTCAGCTGCTTGGGACACATTATCAAGACATAATACTTCCAGTCGAGAATGAGGGAAAGGCAAGCTTTCGAATGGGCCAAGTTTTACTGGTAGTCATTATCATTCGTAATCATGTCCTCTTATCGTTTGCATAGTAGGGTGAAAACTCCTGTAGTTGCGGAAGGAGACTCCATCGGGAATTTAACGCTTTTAACGTACCGCAACTATAGGAGCGTTTACCCTACGTAGTAAATGACTGTATGGCAGCCAATTGAACAGTTTTGTAGTATTTCCTGCAACCGCTACTAACCAAGTTCACAGAGGTTAACCTTTTTTTTACTTGATTCATTCCAGTTCACGCCGAAAAACGCAACGAGTACGAATACGACCGTGTCTAGATGTATGTCAAACCGTAGAGCAAAAATGTCCGTACATGCTGCCGGGTGACCGGGCACCTGCGTTACCCACGCAGTACGCCGGTGAGCCGACGTTTCTTTGTCGAGGTGAGTACAAATGTTGGTGAATAGCTATTTATCCGAAAATTACTGCTTTATAACTGGATCTGCGGAAAATCAGCGATACAGTCACCTAACTAAGGCAGAACACTTGACTATGGGTTTCTCTACATGCGAACAGAAAGAAGCTTTTGGTCCAACAATATCCCGAGATTGGATACTTCGGCAGATCACTCAGCCCTGATTGCTTGAGTTTTGGAGGCATTGATTTTCATTTTTCATGTGTTTGTATAATCAGAAAAGACGTTAAGACATTTTTGCGGTTTGTTCGTTATTTTGCGAGGCATCCTTCCGTTGATGGTTATTGCGGCCAGTCTTTTAAGCGATCACCGTATTCGACCATTTTCTGTAATAATCGACTTCCTTTGCTCTCGACACAAAATAAGCTATCAAATTACAGTTTAAAACTAAAATGTCATATGACAGGCTCTGTCATACGACATTGTCACCGAAGACCGTCACGAATGTATGTATTTTAGTTTTTCTCATAATAAATGATGATGATGATACCCCTACAAAGGTTTGAGCTGGACGATTTACCTTTAAGATAATTAAATATGACAATTTAACCAGGTTAGCAAACAAAATCGAACTGGTTACAGTTACAGATATAAATTCCCTCTAGAATTTACAATTGCTTCACAGCGATATAAATGTGGAAAAGCTCAGGCGTCCAACTCTTGGTTCGCCTTTTTGTCCACCTAAAATATTCATAAGTATTACAAGCAATCAAGAGTTAATGAAAAATCAACAAAGCATCCTATTACACTAGCAACGCCGCAATCTGATGCTATCATAATTTTCAACAATGCCAGGAATGCTCATGAAAACCCCCCACATTTAAGAGAAAACTTACTACTAACTCATGGTATCTTCCAAATAAGCTTCAAAATTGCTTTTCTTTATCAAATGTTAAATTCAGTCCTCTAGCTCCGTAATACGCATGCGAGGCTCAAATCTGTGTAGACTACTTTTTTTTAAATTAATCTACTATTAAATCAAATATTAAAAATCCATCATCACCATCGTGGCGAACAGAAATAGTTTTTGCAGTGCTACAATAATTATTAAAAAGTCGTTATGACAGCTATCCATATAAAATAATCCGTTAGAGATAACTTCGTCAAGATACATTATTTGCCAAGTCATAAAAAAAATCACTGGATAACTGTTCAAAAGACAGTTTTAACGTGAGAAATGCAGTTTGTTTTAAATTCTGTAAGTGTTGCTGAACGTTTGATATGTCTAGGCATCTAATTAAAATAATTTATTCCTTTAAAATAAAATGAATTTTGTGAAGCACAAGTCAAGAAGTGTGGTGCTCTTATTTCAACCGCGTTTCTAGTAATATATCTAAGAAAGTCACTTCCTCTTTCAATTCTATCACACAAATATCGTGGCAGCAAATCTTTAACTACCTTAAAATAAACACCATAAATAGTCAAATATGCAATTCTTTGCTTCACTAACAACCATTGTAAGGCGTCTAGCATCAAAGTTGAGGAAGTGAATCTATTACATCTTAATATCAAACGCATTATTTTATTCTGCAAGCGCTGTAATGTCGATATTTGTGTTGCATTGGCCAGAAATAAAATGGAAGGGCAAAAGTCTAGATGAGGAAAGATCATTCATTTGTAAAGCTGTATTTTACTGGCAATAGTTAAATCGTTCTTCAGTCGACATAGAATTCCATACTTCATGGCAATTTTCTTGATGACATTGTCAATATGAGAGTTGAACTTAAGTTTCTCATCAATAATCACGCCAAGATATTTAATCTCCCGAACGTGATCTATAGAGCCATCATCAATTACAACAGAGATGTTCTCAATTACTCGATTCCACGAAATTACCATAAATTTAGTTTTACTTGTATTCAATTTCAACTGCTTATGCTTCAACCATCTACTTAAAGAACGCATATCTTCATTATCATTATCATTATCTTCATATCAAATGTAAAACGGCATCATCTAAATCCATAGCTGCAATGAATAACACAGTATCATCTGCAAAAAGATTAATGTCGCAAAATCGTTAAACACGTCGCGAGTCATTAATATGCATAATAAATAACAGGGGCCCTAATACACTTCTCTGGGGCACTTCAAGCTTATTCCCCACGGTACTGGAAACAGAATCATTAAAAACAGTCCTTTGAGTTCTGTCAGACAAATAGCTTTCAAACCATTTATATGCAGTACGCGTAATTCCAAAGCGCTTGATTGATCTTAACAATAAGGGCCTACAAATTGTTATTACGGTTTCACAAGAATGACCTTCCCGATATCCCGATTGTTCTGGTATCAACCAACTGTTACTATTTAAATACTCCAACAGCTGGCATTTAACAACAAGTTCTAAAATTTTCTCTAATGTGTGCAACATGTTGATGGAACGAAACTCTTCGGTTTTAATCGTTCCAGCAACTTTTTGAATAGGGACCACTAAGGCATCCTTCCAAATTTGTGGCACATGTCCAGTTTGCAATAATTCATTAAGAAGGTCCAACAAGATGTGGCCAATGACATGAAAGCAATCTTGAATAACTCTAGCATTAACATTATCAACGTTATACCCCGTAACGTGGGTAGTAGACTGATGCAAAATTTGACTTTTTCGCTCCACAGTGCTTAAATGGTTTCAAATCGGGTCCTGATTAGCCTCCCAAAGTTACAACTCATTTGGTAAGAAACAGACTTCGCACAAGCCATTTGAAGTTTACATGTAAATTACTATGGGAAATCTTAACTTTTTGTTCATTGCCTTCTAGTCTTTTTCCATATTGAACTGCGAAACAGTTCGATAGCCATTCTTATAGAAAATTGTCTCAGCTACAACTTTTCTCAAGATTGTTTCTATGTAAAACGAGACAGGAAAAAGTTATTAATTATTTAAGAGATTGGTAAACTTATGACATGATCAAGCAGCTGCTATGTAGGCAACACTGTATTTTGCAGTGTGACATAGTAGCCATAATTTTTATGTCCTATTCAACGCCCCAGAAACACCAATGTTGCCTGCTGAGCAGTTGATTGAGCATGATCATAAGACATCAGCGCATTGAACCATTGATAACTTTCGATCCTTGCATTTAATCAAAAAGTGGTTTTGAGCAAAGCAGTAGCTGGAAAAATTTCCTACACGTACAATTGAAAGCTTTTGAAGCAGACTGATATGGTGAAATATTAGATAGATATGAACAAAAATCTTGGTTTTACCATAGTAATTCCCATACAAACCTCAAATGGTTTGTGCCATCTCAGTTTCTCACCAAATGGGTACAAATTTTGATAGGTTAGTCAGGATCCGATTTGGAATCGTTTAAGTATTGTGGAGCGAAAATTTCAAATTTTGCATCACTCTAGTGGGTAGATCACCTTTTCGCGGTACGTTACGGGGTTTAAGATCTACCAACGATTCCTAGTCTTGACTACTTCAAACTAGGAAAACAGGATTTTTCAGTAATCAAAGGAACACATCTTAGTTCTTGTTACTTTTTATGCCTTGTGGATAGTAACAAGACTCGGCTTTGTCCACCGAGGATGATCTTGAAACAAGGAAAAAAGGAGTTAGTTAGTCTTCATCTATGTGACTCCTAATCTTCCATTCGTTGTTCCCTAGTTTGAAGTGGTTAAAACTAGGGTTCTGATGCATGGTCATTATCGGTGTCATTCCTTAATTTTGTTGCTAAGGAATCCAATTTTGACTGACAAAGGGGCGTGCCTTTGGAAGGTGTTTCAACACTCCGAAGGGTATAAATTATTTATTTATTTATTTATTTATTTATTTATTTATTTATTTATTTATTTATTTCGTCAACCAACGTAGACTAGTACAATTAATACAGTTTTGTTTTCTTAAATATATATTTATATAAAAAAAGTAGTGTCAGCTTTCTTGTCTTTTCTTTTATGAGTTGTGATTTCTTATGGAATAAAAATATTGCTTTAGTTTATGCCGAGACATTGTGAAGTCAATGGTTTCGCAGTGTTTATTGTAAGAGGCCATCATGCGGTTTAATGGCCCATATTTTGCATAATTTGTGCGATGATGTTTTATGGCAAATAAATTTAGATTTCGGAGTTGCCGAGTGGGTGCATGGAAATTTAATTTTGATAAAAGTTCTGTTGAGTCAATTCGCTGCGAAACGATATCATTTACAAATGAAACCATTGCATATTCACGACGCTCTTTTAATGTTTGCATGTTTATAAGCATGCAGCGTGCTTCATATGATGGAAGAGGAAATGAAGTCCAACCTAATTTACGAAGAGCGTATAATAGAAATTGTTTTTGTACTGATTCTAATCTTTCTTCGTGCGTGATTGAAAATGGAGACCATACAATACTGCAATATTCCAGTATTGACCTCACATAGGCAATATATAGTGTTTTAATTGTGTAAGGGTCCTGAAAGTTATAGCAAAAGCGCTTGATAAAGCCCAGCATGTTATTTGCCCTGTGAATAATTGTATTGTAATGGTCTATGAAAGATAGCTTAGAGTCTAAGATAATTCCTAAATCCCTAACTCTTTCACATTTGTCTACAGTTTGATTTCCTACCCTAGCAGCACACTTGTCACTTAAAAGTCGTGGCAACTTGATTGCAACTTATTCCAGTCACAATCAAGTTGCAGCAACCTATTTTGATGGAAGTGTGTTGCTTGGGTAATGCAATTGAAATATTTGAAGTTGTTCTTTTTCTACTAAATGATATTAAGTTACATTTTTTTACATTCAATTCTAGTAGACTTTTTTTGCACCATATGTAGAATATGTGTATTTCATTCCGGAATATATTGATGTCTTCTTCATTTCTTATTTCCAAAAAGAGCTTCATGTCGTCGGCATAAATAAGCAATTTAAGTTTTTTGAGAATGAAAGAAATGTCGTTTACGTATAGAATAAAAAGAAGAGGTCCTAAATGAGAGCCTTGGGGGACGCCTGAAGTGACTTGAATTGGGCTCGATTTCTTTCCGTTG